GTCATTCTATATTATATATTATGAAACAATTTTACTTCATTTTATTGCTTTATTTAACTGCTATTATGAAAAAAAAAAATCAAATCAATTGAATTACTTTGAATTTAGACTTTACAAACCATCATTGCAGAAATGTGTACACGCATACACGAGTGTACTGCCGGGAGAATAGTCACATTAGAATACACATCAATGCAGTTCTATATTATACATTAAATACTGACTGAGAGTGAGGAATTAATATTTCAAAAGGGTTTGAAATATAAGTAGTGTAAATACCAAGCTTATATTTCAATATAATGAATATTTTATGACTGATTGTCTGCGAATCACAGATACCTTGTGGATCTTGCATTAAATACTTATATAAAGACTATCGTTTGTAAAGGATATTTGCCTGCCTCCTCTAAAAAAAAAAAAAGTTAATTACACACGTATAATTACTTTCTCTCGCAACATTAATGACAAAGGCCATTAGTGTTGTACCATAATGAACCTTCATTTTTTTTCTCTCTTTTTGTCCCCAGGTGCTTTTCTGTTCCCTTACCTGATCATGCTGGCGGTGGAGGGCATCCCCATCTTCTATCTGGAACTCGCTGTCGGTCAGAGACTCAGGAAAGGAGCTATTGGTGTCTGGAACCAGGTAACTTTTTTCTTTTCTTTGTCTTGTGTGTATCACCCATGGTGTCATAATTTGATTTAACTTAATGGTATCTTATTTTTTTCGTAAGTGAATCCTCTGTGTATGTTTTCGTGTATGTATTATCTATTGCCTCTCGACTTTAAAGTAGCTTATTTTTTCAATTAGGTATCGATCATGATACATTAACTATCAACTTATATTCTATCTATCAGAGATGGCCTCCAGGAATATGTGTTTCGAGATTTATTCATCATCAATCACTTCACAATAAAGCCCATTGTCCTCCGTGGTCATCGGTTACTAATTTACAAAAGGCTTTCACGAGGATTTAGATAAAATTCTTTAAGGCAGGCATGAGGGAGCCTCTTTGTTGTGTAGGCTTTGTTCTGGCAAGGATTTTCATTACTTGTCTTAAATTTTTGTCCACAAGAAGAACGTTATGTAGGTGGTTAAAAAAAAGTGTAGTAATATCGAAATATGGGAATAATGAAAACATATCAACAAACTACATATCTTCATTATCATCAGAAATATAAATGATAATACACCTACTCGCATAGTACTTTTCAAGCCAGCTTCAGTCAGGAGAGAAATTGAGAACATTTGTACTTTATACATTGTTTCCTTGTAAAAATGTACATACATCAAATACCAGCATGTCATGATAACGAAGTAATATTCCTAGGTTTCCTTTATCCGTTTGTCCTTTTGCTTCAGGTTAAAATAAGGACTCCATTATATCCCTTCTTGCTATTTTGTAATACCTCGTACAACATTTTTTCTCTCATAGATAGTATCAATTACAACCACAGCTGGGAAAAAAAAAATATTAAGGCGAATATGATAGACTGAGACTTAAATCTGAGGGTGAACTGGGTCAGGCAGGGAAAGCAAAAGGAGGAATCGAAGCTGGGATACTGAATACCGCCTCCTCATCGCAAATAACACGTGCTTTTCAAGTCAAGGATATTATACACAGCCACAACCCTTCAACCTCGCAGGTCTCGCCTTACTGTGGCGGCATCGGCGTGGCTTCAGCTTTTGTGTCCTTCAACGTGGCTCTTTATTACAACACTATCATAGCCTGGTGCCTCTACTACCTGGCGGGGGTGAGTATGCTGCGTCTCTCATGGGCTACGCTAAGGTCAGATAGATATTAAGAGAAATGCAGTAAAAAAGTATATTACAATAAGGCCAGGTAAATGTGAACAGATGTGTAGATGTAGTAATAGAACTGGAATTCAAAATCAAATGGAGATTACTATTGAATTCGTGACGCTTCGAGTGAAACGGGTTTCCTCATCAGGACTTAAAACTATGGTATCATTAAAAGCTACCGTCTCTCCCTTTTCATTGCGGCTAAGTTCCATTTCCAAGCGCATCATATTTCACTCTGGCTTCCTGTCTCGTTAATGAGATAAACGCATATTAGTTGCCCTTCTGACCTTCTGAGATATATGCTCTTTTCCCGCAGAGTTTCCGGAGTCCCCTCCCGTGGTCAGACTGCCCCAAGAAATATTACGAAAACGGATCGTATACCGTGGTGCGGGAGTGCGCGGTAAGGAGCTCGCTTATCGCCATAATCAATCATATCATAAAAAGACTTGATTTTATATATATATATATATATATATATATATATATATATATATGTGTGTGTGTGTGTGTGTGTGTGTGTGTGTGTGTGTGTGTGTATGTATGTATGCATGTATGTATGTATGTATATGTATATATGTTTATATATATATATATATATATATATATGTGTGTGTGTGTGTGTGTGTGTGTGTGTGTGTGTGTGTGTGTGTGTGTGTGTGTGTGTGCATGTATGTATGTATGTATATGTATATATGTTTATATATATATATATATATATATATATATATATATATATATATATATATATATATATACATATACATACATACACACACACACACACACACACACACACACACACACACACACACATATATATATATATATATATATATATATATATATATATATATATATATATATATATATATATATATGTCACGAAACACTTCGATACAAAAAGTAAAAGAGTAAGTAAGACTACTTAATACACACACACACACATATATATATGTGTGTGTGTTAAACAGTCTTACTTACTCTCTTACTTTTTGTATCGAAGTGTTTCGTGACAGCCATAACTCACAGCCGCGGAGGTGAAGGACAGTTACAAACGACGCCTCTCACCCCTCCCCCCTCCCTCCTCTACCCCAACAGAAAAGCAGTCCCACAGAGTATTTCTGGTACCGAGAAACCCTCGAGATTTCTCCAGACATCAACCACCCTGAGAAGTTCAACTGGAAGATCGCCATTTGCCTTCTCATTGCATGGCTCCTCACCTACCTGTGCATGGCCAAGGGTATTGCGTCATCCGGAAAGGTGAGTGTTTTTGGTCTCACTTTTTGTTGTTTGTTTTTGTTGATTCTGTTGATGGTTTGATAAAAAAAAAAAAAAAAAATCATGCATTTCGAGTTTCCTTTATGAATGCTAATATTCATGTATGTACTTCAACGAATGTCTTTGTTGGCTATGCTGGTACGTAGTCTTGTCATATCAATGCGTCAAATCAACTCAAGGTCGCATATTATTCAAATGCACACTGCAACATTCTTCTGAAGGTAGATCAATAAGGTACCAAACGCATGCGTATATACATGGAGGTGTATATAAACATACGTAAATGGTGTGCCGTTGTATTTTTTTTTCTCTTTCTCCCCCTCCCCCCCTCTCTCTCCTCCTTTCCTCTCTCTCTCTCTCCTCTCCCTCTCTCTCTCCCTCCCCCTTTTCCTCTATCTCTCCCTCTTTCTCTCCCCCTCGCTGTCTCTCTCTCTCTCTCTCTCTCTCTCTCTCTTCTCTCCTCCTCTCATCTCTCTCTCTCTCCTCATCTCTCTCTCTCTCTCTCTCTCTCTCTCTCTCTCTCTCTCTCTCTCTCTCTCTCTCTCTCTCTCTCTCTCCTTCTCTCTCCCTCTCTCTCTAACTCTCTTTCTCTCACTCTCTTTCTCTCTTCCTCGCCATCTCTCTCCCTTCGTCTCTCTCTGCCTCTCCCTCTCAAACACGCTGCAGTTCATCCCCGAACCCGTCCGACCGGCCACCCTTCAAATACCTTCACTAAATCAGTGTCATGTGACATCACCCTGACAACACCGGTGCCTGACACTTCCTCCCCACCCCCTCCCCCTTCCTCCCTACGGACAGCTGTACCTTCCTGGTGTCAGCTGGCTTGGTTGAACGACAGTATATTGATCTCTTGTCCGTCAAACCAACTCCCAACCTACTAGCTGAAACCAGGACTTAATTACAATGTGTGGGTGTCTTTTTTTTGGTTTTGGGGGGAGGAGGGTGCCTGCTCGTGTGGATGTATGGGTGTGTGTACGTTTGGGTTTTGTGTGTGTGCGTGCTGTGTGTGTGTGTGTGTGTGTGTGTGTGTGTGTGTGTGTGTGTGTGTGTGTGTGTGTGTGTGTGTGTGTGTGTGTGTGTGTGTGTGTTGTGTGTGTGTGTGTGTGTGTGTGTGTGTGTGTGTGTGTGTGTGTGTGTGTGTGTGTTGTGTGTGTGTGTGTATGTTGTGTGTGTGTGTGTGTGTGTGTGTGTGTGTGTGTGTGTGTGTGTGTGTGTGTGTGTGTGTGTGTGTTGTGTGTGTGTGTGTGTGTGTGTGTGTGTTGTGTGTGTGTGTGTGTTCGTGCTGTGTGTGTGTGTTTCTGTGTGTGTGTGTTCGTGCTATGTGTGTGTGTGTGTGTTTGTGCTGTTTGTGTGTGTGTGGTCGTGCTGTTTGTGTGTGTGGGTGTGTGTTGTGCTGTGTATGCGTGTGAGTATATGTGCGTGTATATGTAAATGTGCGTTTATGTGTGCGGCTGTATGCTAAGCTTATGCCTGATGACACAGCACGAGAAAAAGAGAAACTCAAACAACGAGAAACGCAAACAAGTGAATAGAAAGCTGAAGCAGGAAACTAAAAAGAAAAAAGGAAGAAAGATACACACACTCACAGTAGAAGAGATAGCGATAGATAGAGCGATAGATAGATAGATAGAGGGGAGAGAGAGAAAGAGAGAGAGAGAGAAAGAGGGAGAGAAAGAGAGAGAGAGAGAGAGAGAGAGAGAGAGGGAGGGGGAGAAAGAAAGAGAGAAAGAGAAATAGAAAGATAGAAAGCGAAAGAAAGAAAGAAAGATAAAGAGAGAGAGAAAAAAAAAAAAAAAACATAAACACCCGAAACTCAGACGCCTGAGAACCGAGCCAACACACATGTTCTCTTCCACCCCCACCCCCACCCCCCACCCCCCCACCCCCCGCACTTCTGGCCCCTCCCCTCCTCCACACCCAA